ATTTTCTATTGATTTGTTGCAATATGATCTATCCAATGCTGAGAGAAGGGTATTCATGTCCCCCACAATTATTATACTGTGGTCTATATCTTTCTTTAGGTCTAACAGTGTCTGCTTTATATATCTGGGTGCTCCAGTGTTGGGTGCATATATATTTATGATTGGTATGTTTTCTTGCTGTATAGATCCCTTTATCATTATAGAGTGTCCTTGTTTATCTCTTCTTATTGTTTTTGGTTTAAAGTTTATATTTTCCAATATAAGAGTAGCTACTCTTGGTCAATTTTGGTTTCTATTTTCATGGTCTATCTTTTTCCATCCTTTCACTTTTAGTCTGTATTTGTTTATATGGGTGAGGTGAGTCTTTTGAAGACAGCATATAGCTGGGTCTAGTTTTTTAATCCAATCAGTCAGTCTTTGTATTTTGAATGAGGAGTTTAAAATATTTTCAGTTAGTGTTGTTATTGACAGGTATTTCTTTTACTCCTTATTGTATTTGGTTTACATTTTTAAAGTGTCTTTTGTTCTTTTCATCCCCTTTTATTATTCAATGATTGTCAGTTTTATGAGGTGGTATGATTTAATTTCTTTCTCTTGCTCATTTGCATTTTTGTTGTAACAGTGGGCTTTATTCTTTCTTTTGTATTCATAGTAGTGGGTATCATTTTTCACATTACAGATATAAGACTCCCTTGAGGATTTCTTTCAGGTATGGCCGTGTGGTGGCAAACTCCTGCAGTTATTGTTTGTCGGTGAAATACACTATTTCCACCTTATTTCTGAAGTATGGCCTTGCTGGATATAGAATTCCTGGTTAGTAATTTTCTTTTTTTTATCATTTTTCATATACTATCCTATTTTCTTCTGGCCTGTAGAGTCTCAGTTGAGAAGTCTGCTGTTAGTCTGATGGAGGCTCCCCTATAGGTGGCTTGAAACTTTTCTCTTGTTGCTATTAGAATTCTCTGTCTTTTAAGTTTTTCCAGTTTGACCATAATGAGTCCTAGGGAGAAATTTTTGGATTGAATCTGGGGATATTTGGGCTTGCTGGATCAGAAGGTCTATATATCTTCCTATACCTGAGAAGCTTTCCATTATTATTTCCTTGTATATGTTTTCAATGCCTTTTTCTTTCTTTTCCCCTTCTAGAGTACCCATGATTTGGATACTTGTATGCTTAAGGTTGTCAGTTAGCTCTTTAATATTTTCTTCATGTTTTAAAATTCTTTTCCTTTTTTTTGTCCACCTGATTCATTTTGAAAAGACTGTCTTCGAGATCTGAAATTCTTTCTTCTACTTGCTCTAACCTGATTGTTAAGCTCTCAATTGTGTTTTTATTTCATTGAATGTGTCCTTCAGTTCCAGAAGTTTTGCTACATTCTTGTTTAAGATAATAATCTCTTTGTAAATCTCCTCCTTCATATCCTGGATACTTTTTTCTCATTTCATTGTATTCTCTAATTGAGTCTTCTCTTATATCTTTGAGTTTTCTTAATATTGTTTCTCAGAATTCCTTTTTAGACATTTCATGGATTTCCTGCTGTGTGGTTTTTGGTACTTGAGAATTACTGTATTATTTTGGTCATGTCATATTTTCTCATTTATTTGTATTTCTAGTGTCTCTTCTCTGATGTCTGGTAATCTGGTAAAGCATTTGTTTCTTTTATTATTCTGAGGTGGGTTTTGGAGACAAAGATTCCTCCTCTATTTGCAGGCTCTGCTGCTGACTCCTTGTGTTGATGTAGGTGATTGTGTGGTGGGCTGCCTGCAGGGTTGTCATAGCTGTTACTGTGGCAGTGAGTCATCCTTGCAGCATCAGTAGCTGTGGCAGTGAATGTGGTGGACCACCTGTGCTTAAATGGTATTTGTGGCACTGTGCAGTTGGGATGCTCATTTGTCCCTTTCTTGGGTGGTGGGAAGAGCTGCTTGGGCCTTCTGTCTTGGTGCCCACTCACATCATGCTCTTCTGGATGGGTGCCCATTAATTGGATGCTCACTTGCTGTGGAGGAGTGTAGGAATGTCAAGATTGAGAAAGACAAGGGAACTTACACAGGGCAAAATTTCTTAGTGCAGATAAGAGATTTGAGGCAGAACAGGGATTGTTCAAAGCACCAAAGACTTTAGCATAATGAGGAAAGACAAGGGAACTTACACAGGGCAAAATTTCTTAGTGCAGATAAGAGATTTGAGGCAGAGCAGGGATTGTTCAAAGCACCAAAGACTTTAGCATAATGAGGATCTTCAAGGGTGTTCTGCTAGATTAGACAAGAACATTAAAGCATTTCTTATCCAGTTTCACTCCCTTTCCTTTGTTTCTTAAGATGTTTTCCAGAGAATGTCCCATAGCCAATTTCTTTTCACCCCTTTGCAAAATGATTGATAAAAATTTTTTTTTTTTAATTTCTTTGTCTTTACAATAAAAGCTGAAGCAAATATTGACTCTCGGGGCTGTGCCTTGTTTCTCTCTTCTTGAGGGACTTTTATTGGTGCAGCCCCTTCTGGCTTCCCATTGCTCTTAAAATATGTGCCCTGAGTAATCTTTGTGTCTCTGTCACACAGTGAGAAGTGACGAACTTNAAAAAGAAATGCAAAAAATGAAAAAGTATTACAGAAATAAAGTGACATTGTAGTACAAAATAATGTTAACTAAACATAATCAAAATCACTCAGGCGCATGTTAGATCTGATTTAGAAAATTACACCATATGAACTGGAAAAAAATAAAGAAAAAAAGGTCTGGTAGAAGATTATAGATAGGGTTAAATATAATAAAGGATTTACAGATTTCTGTAATAACTTTCTAAGCAACCAAGGTACTGACATGAAAACTCAGGCCTAAAAGACGTCAGAAAACTCAGCTCTCTTTCAATCTAAACAAACAACAACAAAAAAGAATAAATAATAATAGTGGAATGGAGACACTTCCTGTAATATTGAATAAATATTGGTGTTGCATATTAAACCATTTTTAATGAAGACTAAATAATACTAAAAAGTACAAAAATTTAGAAATTAAATGTTATACATTTAATAATATTTAAATAGTAATATAAAAATTATAGGTAAAAGAAATGAGAAATGTAACTAGGTAATGTTTTTAAATCTCTCATAACAAGATGAAGAGATTTAAAATATACAGATGACATTTTAAAAAATGCAATAATTTTATTTTAATTAATTCTATTTGTTGCTTAATATTAAAGAGTTATTTTTTAGCTCCCACCAATGAGTGAGAACATGTGGTATTTCTTTTTCTCTGCCTGACTCGTTTCACTCAATATTATTCTCTCAAGGTCCATCCATGTTGTTGCAAATGGCAGTATTTCATTCGTTTTTATAGCTGAGTAATATTCCATTATGTATATATACCACATTTTCCGTATCCACTCATCCGATGAAACAGGTTTTGAATTCTCATCTTGCATAAAGTACTGAGATAAGTGTCGGGCGATGGAAAGGTAAGAGTGAAAGGTGGATAAGACAGCTTCCAGGAGGAGTGCCAAGTGGGGGATCCATGAGGACAGGGCAGCTCTGAGGGTCTCACTGAGCACTGACGTGGCAATGAAGCCACTGAGGATCCCAGCCTAGTCATGCTGCCAACAGGAGGAGGAAGGAGATGGGAGGCACCAAGGCCAGGTGAAGGCAGCAGCTCTTAAACCCCACGGCACGCAGTAGGTCTCTAATTTCTCATTTCAAATTTTCAGCTTAAATTAGCAACAAATATTGAGGAAGTGAACTATGCAATGTTATAACTAACGATAAATTTCAAATGCCTATGTATATTAAATAAGTGACCTCAAAAATATTTTTGTGCGTGTCATATGAGATTTTTATTTTAAAATGTCAACATTCACAATATATTGAAAATTACATCATTTTCTACTATTTAAACTTATTTTTAAAATTTTTTAATGGACACAATAGCTGTACATATATATGGGGTACAATGTGATATTTAGATACTTGTATACAATGTGCAATGATCAAATTAAAGTAATTAGCATATCCACCTTTGACAAAATAAAAATTTAACGAAAAAAAAATATTAAAGAGTTATACTAAGTAATTAGTTTACAGAATTTATTAATGATTTTGTTCCTCTTACGATTTACTATTGTCACATATTCTTTTAATTCAAAATCGATGTAGCATATAGCATTTTTAAAAGTTTCTTCTGTATGCTTGCCTTCACTATTTCCCCCATTCTTAATTCTTTCCTTTCTTCTTTTCTTTTTTAATCCTTTTTTTCCTTTCCTCTTTCTTTCTTTTGATCTTTTTATTTCTGATATTATGCATGTGTCTAGGCAATGAGAGATCTCTTGAGTATTAGATATTTAAAAATCTTTTCCTTATTAATTTAAAAAGCTGTGTTAATTTTAGTAACAAAAAATAATAATTTTTTTAAAACTTCAACTGAGTGAATTAATAGTTATTTTAATGGAGGATTTTTCATTGTTTTTATATTATTGAATGGCCATAGTTAAAAATGTTCCTATTATATTTAAAAGTTTGTATTTCCAATAGGATCTTAATAAGGTAAATATATATATATATATTTGTGGTTAAAAATAAGACCTTGAAAAAGAAACCAAGCTGTATCCGGTGTTCACTTTAAGTGATGGAGTTATTGTTGATTTTTATTTTCATTTTTATACTGCTCTATATTTCCATAGGTTGTCACCATTCCTGGGACAAGAATTCTCTATTAATTTTAATAGAAATATTAATTCATTGACATGCTGAATAAACACTAATATATAAAATATATATACAAATATATACACATAATATATATACAAAAATACATATGAAATATATATGCAAAAATATGTACACAAAATGTATATGTAAAAATAATATATGAAGGAAATATGCTATTGTGCATGTTCTAGATGGTAGGACTATGTGTGACCATTTTCCTAATACATATATATATATACCTATATATATATATGTATACATGCACACACATGTACAAAAATATACATAAATAAAATATATGCACAAAAATAATATATGAAGGAAATAGAACATACTTATGTATGTTCTATGTGTGACCATTTTACTAATATTTTGTCACTTTGTCTTCTTTTGTAATTGGAAAATGTTAATCTTAGCATATGCTCATGTTTAAAAGGCACATATGTACAGATAATGAAGCAAAATAAAAATAAGAAATAAAATATATATATTTTTTTCCTTTTTGTCTTTTTTCGTGACCGGCAACGGATCACAACCCTCAG